TTTCAGGCTGAAACGACACGGGGCCTGTAAGCCCTTATTTCTAGGCTTTTAGGCTGAGAATGCGGGACGGGCCCTGCAGGCCCGTGTGGCTACGCAGTATGCCACAGCTATCGATCTTAAATAACAACTCTCTCCTGTGTATTTTAGTGCCTGCTGGCCATGGGCCGCTGGCCGCTTCTTGCAAGATCTTCAGCGCGCTGACTTTCACAATTTGTTTGGCTCAGAACTGTTGACGAAAAAATCTGAAAAAATATCACGGACGTAGATTGAGTGCTCATCTCTCCGGTAAAAATATGTATTTTACTATTGTTATGAAATCTGCATGGCAAATACAATCCGGGCGTTGAAGAACTTTCTTTTGTTCCCTGCTGCTACTGGTGAGCCCTCGTCTTTTGGGGTTGGTGCTCCCGGCCTTGCAAAATTTGTCGGGTCAATGAATATGCTTCCCCGACAGTGGTCGTTTAAACCACTAGTACCTCCGAGCCTGTTTTTCCCGACCCTGAATTATAGTGCGCGCCGAATTTGCTGAGCCTGTGTCCCGCGGTACCTTTCACTTTGTTTTTATTTTTTGCCTGTGTGGATTCGGAACGTTTTCACTTGTGGCGTGGTCGGCCTCCGGCTTTGTCCGACGACCGGACACACGTTAGGGCGGGGTCCCTGTGGCTGGTGGCATTGTGCGAGGCCTGGTCTAGTTTTTCTTTTTTTTTTGGCCTGTGAGGGGCGTGTCGGTTCGCCGGCGGCCGGTACTGCGGATTGGAGGGCCGTGGTCGTCCGCACGTGGGGCGATGGACGGACGACAACGGTTGCCATCGCCAGCGGCGCGTCCCGACCTCCTATTCTGTGTGTGTGTGTGTGTGTGTGTGTGTGTGTGTGAGCTGTGTGTTATCCATCCCGAATCCTTTCAGCCAATCGACGTGCCGGATGACATCATGTCTTCCCGGCTATTGGCTGTCGTGCGTGCATGCCACAAAGTTCACACATGCGTCCCGGCGATTGTCTCTCGCTCGCTCTTTATCTGTCCCTCTTTCTCTCTCTCTCTCTCTCTCTCTCTCTCTCTCTCTCTCTCTCTCTCTCTCTCTCTCTCTCTCTCTCTCTCTCTCTTT